TTCATAGTCTCTTTCCAGGTTGCAGTGTGCAAAGGACGGTAAAAAGGGAGTGCTTTTTAATAGATTCAGTGAAGAATACTCACCATTCAGGAGTTTTCCGCAGTGAAACCAAAGAGTACTTGATACACATTGGAGGAGAACTCTAAGTAAACCCACTGGGTTGGTTTTTCTTTCCACAACTTAGATTATTAGATATGATAATGATAAAAGACTCTGCACCCCCACCCACAACTTCACTCCCCCTTCTTCCCGCTTCCCATTGAGTTCCTTCACCCCCCATATTCCCTGCCAATTTCCCCTTGCAGCACCACCCTGATTCAAACTCCCGTGTGTTTGCCTCACTCCTCAGGCTCCCTGCTGAACAAACTCTTGACTCCCCTGGCTACTGAGCTGGTCTGGTTTGCCCCTGAAGCCCCTCCAAAGCAACCCTTGTCTGCCCAATCCTCCTCCAGTACCCGCTTGAGCCCCCAAAATCAAACCCCCTACTGCCCTTTTCCTCCATCGTGCTTCCTCCGCCGCTGACAAAAGAAAAAGATAATCTGCTCAGCCTAACAAAATTCTTGAAGATACTTTCCTTTGTTTTATTTGTCCCGCCTCAGCTTTCCGTGTGGATGATGCTGTCAGCTCCAGCTATTCCTGAGACCCGCAGTGATTGCCTTGCCTATAAAGACTCTACAACAGCCATATGTTACGGTGAAAAGATGGCAGCTTCAGGCAGAGGGGTTTCCTCTCAGTCATTTAAGCAAACACAAAGGCAAAATCTCAAAAAAAGTAGCGTTGGCAGACTTGAAGACAGGCTTGGGGGAGAGTATCAGTGGGAGTGGCTCATCTTCTGAGGAAAAAAAAAAGAGGATTGGCTTGCAGAGGATATTTTTTAGGCCTTCCAAGCTCTAGTGTGTGTGTTTGTGGGTGGGTGTTAGAGATATCCACCACCAAATCACCAAATGCAAGGTTTTATTTTTTTCAGCTTGCCCAATGCAGTAATATCCTGAATTGCACCGTCAGGGTAGTTGAGAGCCAAGCTGCAAAGGTGAATCAGGTGATTCAAATATATGAAAATTTTTGGTTTCCTACCAAATTTTTCTTTGTTGGGAAAGTTGTGTTGGTTTTTTTCAGCTTCTGTGATGGGGGTTGTCAGGATTCATTGAGCCTGTTGATGCTGAATGGAGTGATTGTTTTCACATTTCTAATGGAATTGTATTTATAAATGGATGGAGGCTCACTAGCAAGGCTTTTATCCGCATTCTCAATGTGATCATAACATAAAAAAAGAATATCACACTGAAAAATAAACCTGCTCAACTTCTTGCAGTTGACATGCAGCATGCTCCAGCTAAGCTGCCATCCAAACTCCATATGTTTACATATGTAGATGATTTGGCGCAGTCACTGTGAAGTCTGAACAGTGACTGTGCATCAAAGCTTGGTTGAATCACTTTTAGAGGATGTTTGGAGTAACAACAGAATCTTCCTGGGAGTTTCTGAATGTCAACTTCAAGCAGTGGAGAAAGTTTTTTTATTTAGTGTCAAGGTCATAAAATGGTGACCATAGCTGATATGAGTTATGATCATTTCAAGACAAAAAATAAGTTGTTGAGCATGAATCACATCATTTTCATTATGATCCTTCACAGTCTTTGGGAATTCAAATATAATTTCAAGAAAAATTGGATGAGCAAAAGATATATAAGATTTCTTTGGCAGGCGAAATGAATATCTGCTTGTGCAATACATCAGGTTGATTTTTGAGCTTGAGATCAACACAAGTTACAACCAACTTCATCCTGAGTTCAACCTGACTGGTAATGTTCTTCAGATTAACACCCCAGAAGTTACCAACAGGCTATTCAAGAAAGTGATGTGAGAGTAAGTTCATGCCAGTGTCATGGAAACAGCCCTGCTTCAATTTACTCATTTTAGCCACTTTTTATGCTTTTCCTTTCTACAAAAATAAAATTCCTAAAAATTATAAAAACTCCTAAAAATATAGTAGTTAGAAGTACCAGAAGTACAGACCCCAGAACATTTCATCACAGATAAAGGTTATTGAGAACCCCAGATACTAGTAGTTAACCAGAAGTACAGACCCCAGAACATTTCATCACAGATAAAGGTTATTGAGAACCCCAGATACTAGTAGTTATCCAGATATTTAATTAGTTACCCAGATTGTTGAGTGAGACACTCACAGATTTATCCCCGCATTATTCTCTTTTCTCCATCACATCCTCCTCTTGGGTTACAAAATCAAGCTATCAGTAACAGTGTTCATACACGAAGAACTATCAAGAATCAGCCACACCCTTTTCTGTGTTTTCTTAGTGTAACTATCTCAACTCAAGCATTATATAGGAGGGCAGCCTCAACAGCACCTGTAGCTTCAACATACACTTTTACTAGTTGTAGTTATATATTTCCCCTCCAAGCTCTTTCTCCCCGCTAGAGAATTTCCATCCCGTACATCATGGTTAAAAGGCAGACTTACAGCCTGAAGCACAACAGTCAGTACAGAATCACAACATGCTTTAAATAATAAAATTTATTTCTTCACTTGGATATTCCTCAAAGCACTTTGATTGAATCATAGACCAAGGATTTGTTTATCTTAGTGGAGTGTTTGATATGGTTTCAACATGGCATAAATCTAAGTTGCAACCAATTTACTAGAGAGTTGTAGTTGAAATGCAGATGATACCAACTGAACTTAGGACCAAGTTCACCAAAGATCAGGCTAAACTTCTGCACAACTTACAACGAATAAACAACAGGTATCAGCTCAATATATGAAAAAGTTAAGAGAAAGAACTTTAATGCAAGTTGCCATGGAAGTATCACTGGTGAGTTGGGCTTGAATGGAATTCCTCAACGTTTTCTTCAGATTTTTAAGTTAGGTCCATGTCAAGTGTACTAACCACTGTACCAAGGACGCTTGGAGATGAATGACTGTGGAGGGGTAAATTAATTCTCCTGGTGTCTATGAAATATCCATTTGGAGGGTGAAATCCTGTCATTGACAGGTGATAATTTAGTAGACACCAGCAGTTATGATAATGCCTAGAGAAGCAGAACCACACTCGGGCCATTGCTATATACCCCTTTGGAATGGTTTTGGTTCATTTTTCAGTCTTTAAGTTGACTTAAACCAATCTCACCATGAGTGGCAATCACATGAGTGATGTGCTCATTAGCTTGGGTCAACTTGCCAGAAACTTCATAAGAAGATACTTGCACCCAAATCAGCAGCAAAGGAATCTGTGATTGAAATTCACAATCCAAACCTACACAGCCATCAATATAGTTGAAAAGATTGTGGGCCCACTATGCTAATGGTAATATAACTTGAAGCCACTAGCAGCTAACAACTTTTGTTGTAGCCATTAGCAGTTTTGTGCTAATGCTAACAGAACAACACCAAAAAAGGGGCTTGTTACGTTACAAAAAACCGCTTTGCCACTTAAAATAGCTGCTAAAAGCACTGTAGCCTAGCAACCTGTAGTGCCGCTAATTCTCCAGAGTTGGCGGTAAGAATAACTGTCCACTACACTACACCTTTTTGTTCCTGTAGCGTAGCGGCCCACTGTTGGTTGTAATGTCAAGGCTTGCTGACCTGACCATTACCATCAACTCATTTGGTCTGTGACGGAGGTCAACCATTGGAAATTTGAAGTCTCATCATCTTCAATATCAATGAATAAGACTTTGTTTCCATTTTCAATTGAGGATTTGGAGGCTTGTTCACCAGGAAACCCAGCATGTTGCCTGCTAGAAATTGGAACACCTGGTTGTGTTATGGATTTCCTGTAAACACTAGATTCTTGTGGCTGCTCATTTTCTTCAAATTAAAATTTATGCAATGTACAAATTTTTTGAAGTATTTTAGCAACATATTCCAAGCTGACAGATTTCCACAACTTTTGCCTACAAACACCTTCCATGACCTGAGACAATGTGCTCATGGATCACAATTTGTGAGTGACATTTGGAAATGGGGATGTTTGATTGAACACTTAAGTCAGCTCATTAGCATCTGCCAAATGTGCGTTATTGATGTGAATATATAGTTTTTGAATGAGTGCACCATCAACAAACTTAATGTGTCTCCATAGCTCAGTGGTTTAGAGCGGCCGCCTGCAGTAGGTACAGCGGCAGGTCACGTGTTCAAATCACGTTGGGGACTCCGCATCTTTTTTGCCTGCGACACTTTCCTCCTCTGCTCCGCCAAGCGTTACTGGTTGGAAGAACGAAACAAATTGAAGGATCACGCAAAGTGTTCCCTGATGTAGCGAGAGGAATATCATGGCAGACTGCGCTACTCAATCAACCCCGACAAAGAGGCTACATATACGGCTTACGGACAATTCCAGTCTTACGAAGATGACAGTGACATTGCTTCTTCAGAGGGGTGGACAATTTGGTGAAAGAACAATGTTGCGCTTCGCAGCTTGTGACAATCTGGAATGTTGACATGCTCAATAGTTTACAATATGAGATCATATCGATTGTTTTGTGCTCGCTCTTCATCCCGATGGGGAGCAGAAGGAGAATCAAATTTGGCCCTGCATGTTCAGATTGATAATTATGGATAAAACAAAAAACAGGGGAAGGGTTGGTAAGCATCTGAGCCACTCGACGGTTTGCATTGGACGGAGCAGATGGATGGAAACGCACTTTTCACCGGCTGCAATGGAAGGAAAGGACTGGAATGCATCGGGATGCTTGGGGAGTGGAGTCTCGCTAAAAATGAAGTCAAGAGGATTGGTAACAGAGATCGCATGAGTAATCCAAGCAAGTAGTTCAAGGCGCAAGAGCGAGAGCCAAAAGGATGAAAAATTGTAACACGCTTAAAGTAGGGATGCTTGAGAGCCTCATCAGCCGAAATACGTTGCTGTGGATCATAGGTTAGTAATTTGTTCATCAGATCGATCCCTGCTTCCGTCACATATCGGAACTTCTGTCTTAGTGTTGAGTACGGTTGGATCGCATTCATGTCAAACTTCGGCGCATTCGGTAACAATTTGAATCCGGGCCAGATTTCTTCTGTCGGTCGACCTAGAATTTTGAAGATTTTCCCAATCTGATCGATCTCTCCTGCACCGGGAAACAGTGGCTCGCGTAAGATGAGCTCAGCAAAAATACATCCAATGCTCCACAAGTCGACAGCCGTGGTATATGATTCGGCCCCAAGTAATAACTCGGGTGCTCTATACCACAAGGTGACAACCAGCTGAGTCATATCTCCCATCGGCGGATCGCCGTAAGTCCTAGCGAGTCCAAAATCTGCGACCTTGATCTGACCACGATTGTTCATCAGCAGATTCGACGTTTTCAAATCACGGTGTATGATCCAATTATTGTGACATAGCGCGGTTGCTGACAAGAGTTGTAGCAAGATGGTCTTGACTTCTGAGGCTAAGAATGGCGTTCGCATTGTGCTTAAAAGGGTTTTGAGATCGTGTTCAATAAAGTCCATCACAATGAAGATTCTAGCATTTTGTGGGGTCGTAGAGTCGGGGGATCAAAAGAAGCAAATGGAGTGAGTAGCCAATAGGTAAGAATGGGGGCCAAATACGCACTGTGTCAAAGTGTCTCCAACGACGATCTCTCGAACGTGGACAATGTTTTCATGACGAGCCATCATCAGAGTGTGAATTTCGCGAAGACTGGTGATTGGGAATCCGTTCTTTTCCTGGTCCATTTTAATCTTCTTGAGGGCAACAATTTCACCCGTTTCCTTATCACGCGCCCGGAACACAACGCCATAGGAACCTTCCTCTATGTGATTGAGTCTAATACAAGAATTTAATTTGTTACCGACGGAAAACCCAAAAAGAAAATAATGAACCAAGAGTTTAGCAGATTGAACAATAGAAAGATGAACCAAACCTTTCATAACGATAAACTGAACGGCAGCCCTGTATTGGAGGGTGCAGGTCACGAATCAGTTTAGACCGATTGAGTGGCGGATTTTTCTTGGAAAGTGAGGCACGACCAAGGATTGAGATCCCGGGTTTCTTGGGCTGTTGATCGCCGTTCAAATACGAAGGATTAAGATGGGAAGAATCGGAGCTCGTTGACTGAATAGGTGGTGCAGGTTCGGAGGTTGATGTTGCGATGGCTTGCTCCTTTGATGGTGTGGTTTTGTACGGTGATGCCGATCTAGAAACATTGACGCCCGACAGTGCGGCCTTACGCGATCGCTTTGCCGGTCTGGAAGGGGCCGCTTTGTTTTGATGGGCTGGCGTAGAGTCGTCGTCCAGGTCGTCCCATTTTGACTTTCTGACATGAGTGGCTGAGGGAAAGCAGGCCGAATAATTTTTTAGTCAGCGATTGCTGATAGCTCCTAGGCCCGACGAGCTCAACATTAAGATCCCACAATGGAGACTCACCAGCCGAGGTCATCTAGATACACACCCACTGGAAGGATTCCGAGAACCTGACTTGGCTATTCGCGTTTTATTCGAGAGGGTTGGTTTGTCGACTATGCTACAGCGGCCGGCTGGACGCGGGGGGTTACTGGCATGGAAGCCCCGACAGTCTCCCCGGGGCTCCGTGCGGGAAATCGGGAGCTGAAGTGACCTTGACTTGCAGCATAGTGGAATACTACTTGGATTTGGTCCAATTATAAACCATTTAACTTTCATAGGCTTTCCATGTGGTTTAATTCACTTTCCTCATGGAACTTGGAGTTATTTGCCTATAAATCCACTACTTGAACCGGATCATATTATGTTTCACAGACCGGTCGCAAGCATTGGTGGATTCCACAGGTGCACGGATCCTGTGAAACCCATGAGATTATTTTACTGATCCATGTGTGGAGACTGTGGAAGATGTGTCTGGTGGGACTCAAACCCATGAACTCAGCAATGCTGAGCCACATACTAGAGTGCCGCCTTTACCAACTAGGCTACAGACACTTGTGGTGGCCATGGTGTTTGGGCAGTAGTGTTCATGGTTCAACTTGTTGAGATTTAAGTCAAGAATTTGATGCAGTGAGGGAAAATCTTGGGGGAGAGAGATTGGACAAAGGAGCTGATAGGTGTCTTGGGAAAACTATGCTCAGACTTGATAATTTCATTGCTTCTGGGATATGGCCAGAATAAATAGAAACTACAATCAGTTCAACTGGTGGTAGAGACAAAAATAACAGAAGAACTGCAAAAAAAACTTGATCAACTGCATGCAGTTGACATGCAGCATGCTCCAGCCAAGCTTCCATT